TTGTATATTTGTGTAAAATTTGGTTATATTTAGACAACAATTGGTGTATTTTTTTGATTTAAACTTAAGAATTGGTAAGAAATGTCTATTCTCCATCTTTTTTCAACCGTGATATTACTGAAAGTTTTTTAAGACTTGTATTTGCAAAATTGTTAGGCTTAGTGAAAAACATAACATTCAGAAATGCTCTTCGCTTAAAGACATACAGTAAAGCTTTCCATGTATGTCAACAATGACGTGCAGTTACTGATTTGGCTCCCTCTGGTGGCCAGAGAAAAATCTGACCAAAATTTGCTGAAATCAAATTATAGGATTTCCTGTACAGTACAACCTACACATTATGCAAAGTGTTAATGTGTCATTAAGATGCATAATTTGAAACAATAATCATGTCTTTATTTTAATCTTAGACAGGAATAATTACATTTTAGGTTGTTGGCAGTACATTGAGCATTGTAAGAGCCAACTTAAGCCAATTCAAACCAAATGTCATATGTTTCCTCAACTGATCATTTTCATCAAAATTGCTTGGCTGAGTGGAATACATAAAATTTACAAAGTTCCTTTGCCGCAAGATAGATGTTGCAAAGACTGTGACCATAAGTATGTTTGAAGTCATAATTTGCATTTAATGCTGATGCTCCCTCTGCTGGGCAGAAAAGATATTACCCTTATTAATTATGTGGCCATCCTGGCTTTAACTCAAATGTCCACATTTCCTGTGCAATTTTGGAACAGACATACAATTGCAATGTTTTAGATGTTAATAAGATGTGTAATTTAAAACCATTATCTTTTCTTTATTTCATTCATAGAAGAATATAATGACATTTTAATAATTACGCATTAGACTAAGTATTGTAGGGGCTTATGATAATCAATTTAAATGAAACTTTGCATGTTTCATCAGAAAACAGTAGTGTACAAGTTTACCAAGATTTATCACAATCACCTAAAAACTAAAGAATCTGTAGCCCCCTAAGTCAAAAAAGGCCAGGCCGAGCAGATTCATTGGTGTCTCATGGCTGTTCTTTGCAATAAAGTCAAGGTTTTTTTGATAATTATTTACCTACGGACTCCACAGATTGTTTTAAGACCAAAATTGAAACAGTTGTTTTAAAATCCACAGACTAGTTCGAAAAGCTCAATTTTCAAACATTGATCAATCAAAGAAAAACTTTACAGAATTTTAAAAGACTTGTATTGGATAAAATGTCATGCTCAGTGTAAGCAATGATATTTATTGATTTATTTTGATATATGACAAAATGTATAGGACTTATTCTCATTTATACTCTATAGCGCCACCTCATGGCCAATTGAGGTCAAACTTTGTAGGCTACTAGAGATTGCCTATGTGGACACATGATATAATTTTTGTGATGATTGGCCAATGCTAAGCCCTCCAAATGCCTGTTGAAAGCTTATTGGCCAATGGCGGCCACATTTGTCAAATGATTCAGTTGTCCTTAATAGATCATGTAAATATTAGGCCACGGATACAGCATGCAACGTTTCAGCTCAATTGGCCTGGCGGTTGCTGAGAAACAGATTTTTGGCTGTTATAGCGCCCCCTATTAAGGAATCGGTATCAACCTGGGTGGGCTTCCACAGAATCATGTGGGGTACAGTACTGATAAGGTTGATGTGAATTGGCCAAAGCATTCTTGATCTGTAGCCATTTATGTGAATTAAGCCAAACCCAGAAGGGCTTAATTGGCACATGGCAGCCATACTGTTTATAAATATTCAATTTTTTTTGATAATTCTTGACCTCCAGACTCCCCTGAACATTTTGTGACCAATATTGTGTTGATATCTTGAAAAACCTCAGACTAGTAAAATGAAAAATGTAGATGTCACATATTTTGCCAATTATGATGATAAATTTGGGGGCGGAGCTAAAAACTTGCAGTGGTGCGTTGATGTAGAATAAAGCAAGGATTATGCAGAAGCAAGAATTTTGAGGTTAGCCCCCATGGTTCAGGAGATAGGGGCAAAAAAGTAAAATGTTGCTCTATAGCGCCACCATGAGGCCAATTGGGGTCATTTCAGTTGCCTGAGTAGTGGGGGGGAATCTACACCTACCCTCTAAGTTTGGTCTTTGGATGACTTACGGTGTCTTCTCCACAAACCGTTTTAGGGCAGAAAAAGAATAATAATAATAAGAAGAAGAAAAATCCGAGCAAAAGCAATAGGGTTCCATGCACCTAAAGGTGCTTGGACCCCTAAAAATGGTCAGCCATGACTTCCTTTTTCACTGATGAATATATACGAGATAAAACACAGGCCAAATTTCCTCATCCATCACTATGAGAAAGACCAAAGAATGCAGCAGTGACGTATGACAAAAGGTTGTTGAGCAGCACAAATCAGGATATGGCTTAAAGAAAACAGCTAAACAGTTGAAAATGCCCATTTTCACTCTCAGAGCAATTATTAAGAAGTTTAAAACAACTGGAGATGTTAAGGTTTTGCCATGGCCATCCCAGACCTGTGCCCTAAACCCCATAAAAACCTGTGGCATGAGCTGTAGAGAAGAGTCCACAGTGTAGACATTGGAATCTGAATAATCTGGAGAGGTTCTTAGGGAGGAACGGTCTTAGACCCTTTGCCATGTGTTCTCCAGTCTCATTAAGCATTATAGGAGAAGACTTAGAGCTGCTATCTTTGCAAGGCTCAAGGCAATAGTGGCACACTCAGATTTATGAAAAATATTTATTTCTTGATTTTTTTTTCAATCATTGTACTTAGATTTATGTTAATATTTTGAATAAAAGATCAAAAAGTTAAGCAATAAAGAATGTATTTCACAGCCTGTTTTGCTCACGTTTACCAGAGGTGCCAATATTTATGGAGTACACTATTTACAACTAGTGTGAATGGCTGACATGTTCAGGATTTTACAACCACGTGATTTACAGAAAAATAAGTGCAGTGCATTAGGTGTGGGGGCGACATGGCACAAATGCCATATTGTGATACTTCAGGATATTTTCATGATACACAATATGTATTGTGATACTGTGACACACATACACAATGCACCAAGTGTCACATTTTAAAAACAGCAATCAAAAATCATTTTTTATTCAATGTTTCACATAATGTGCTGCACTAAATATAGTTAAAAGGGACTGATTACATTCTCTTTGTAATAAAAACATACTGTTGATCAGTGCTCCTTAAGTACCGATAATATTCATGATATGTTCATACTGTTTATCAGAACAACATTTATCACAGTAATGACAAAATATCATCACATTGCCCACCTCTACAGTCAGTGCAACTTATTCGTCCCAAATGCATCCCAGAATGAATTTAACATTGCCCTGTACACACATTTTATCATCCCTGGGACAACAAGACAGCATTATTCTGAGACCTTGATATAAAATCATTATATAATACATATAATTTACTAAGTGGAAAGTAATTACCTACCATTAGCTATTAATTAGGGGTGTAACGAAGCACTCTGCTCACGATTTGATTTGATTCACGGTACTAAGTTCACGATTCGACATTCTCAAGATATTTTAAACAAAATTTGAATGAACAAGAATCATAAACGACATTCCTTGTTTTGTTTCTGAAGTGTAAACGGTGCAAAACAATGCATTTGCTTGTATACTTTTTAAAAAAAAAAACTGTAAACAAAATGTTATTGTAGCTTCAGCATATATTAAATATCAAAGTGAAAACATTCCTTTTTTTCTGAGGATTAACAATTCAAACAATGTGTACCTTTCTTGTACAAAATGTAACAAATTTGTATTTAATAAAAAAAAAAAAGAATTTAGAAGGAAAAGTGAAAATTGTGACACTGACTGGGTTTTTTCGCCAGGTGGTGGCTGTTTTCAGAGGCTTCAGAAGTTTCACAATGTCCTCGGCATCATTGATGTTGGAGTAGTCCAGAGTACAGATTTCACGGGCATTACGACGTATCTCCGTTCGCACAAGAGTTGCCATTACAGCTGCTTATTGTTCAAGACAGCGAGCTATTCCATTCGTGTGATGACATCCATACTGAGTTTATGCAATGGGATCTATAGCAGTTTCTGTTTAGCCTCGAGCACAGTGGCCGCAGCACTTCAGTGGGAGAAGGCGGCTAACGTTATGCCTCTCACTCGACCCAGCAAACGACTGACGCAGTTTACACCTAAGACTTAAAGTGCTTTAAAGTGCTTGGGAAGATTTCAAGTGTGCTACCACCACATAAACACTTGGCGTGGTGATAGCCCAGCCTCTTTCACTGCTACCTCCACATAGTGCGCTCTGTCCGCAACAACAGTTGCGAATAGCTCTTTCAAGCTCCAAATCCAAACAGCCTATTTCAGCACCTCGGCTATGTTTTGCCCAGTGTGCGACTCAAAAATAGGGCAAGTTTAGAGTACGAAGTTCGCTATTTCCCACTCTCCGGTGACTACATGTGCCGTTATAGTGACTTACCTCTGGGTAGCCCTCGAAGTCCACCCTTCTGTTGTTATTGCGACGCTGCCTGCCTCTTTGAAAGTTTGCATCACGTTTGCTTTTGTTTTATTGTACCGGGCTGATAAAAAAGGGCAACTGAAGTGCGGACGTGGCAGAATGCTGTACTTGGGCTCCAGCTTGTTAAGAAGCCGAAATCTATCATTATCGTCAACAAAAAACGGCCTCATGTCATTTGCAATAAAAACACCAACTGAGGCTAAGGACTGTGGCGTATGGGAACATGACGTATGATGTGCTGGTGTGGGTAAAATCAGCCCTCTGGTGTTCAAAAATGCAATTGCATTAGATGGCATAATAAACAGAACAGACTCGTTATCATCCATCCCCACGATGCACATCACATTTTTGCATCGCAATGTATCGTGTCACGATGTATCGCTACACCCCTTCTATTAATTATTGAAAAGATTACTTTAGTAAATTTGAAATGTGGACAAGATATTTTGGGTATAGGCTAAAAATTTATGTTAGGAGGTTAAAAGAAAAGAAAATTTTCTCTCTACCTGGTACAGGGAGGTTACTCGCAGAGGCTGGTGGTGGTCCAGGAGACTGTGGTGCATTACAAAAAAAAGGAGGTGTGGCTGTTCCCAAGCTGTAAGCCATGGATGTCAGACTTGATCCCAGGGCTGGATTAGGGCTCACTTCATTGCCCATGTGTGTATGTCCCTCATACTGCCTGCTTCTAGGTTGCTGAAGATTCTGGCAGAAACTGTTGGACACTGGAGGGGTTGAGGAGCTCTGTGGAGTGGGTAATAAAAGCATTCTGTGGTTATTCACTGCAGTTTGAAACGGTGCAAAGGGCTCCAAACATCCCTCTGGTGACCTGCTGGGCATGGATGACCCAGAGGGGCTTTGGTACAGGCTCATTGGTGGGGCTTGCTGATAGAGCTTGAAATTGTAGTTATCTGGGGCAGGCAGCAATGGAGCTTTAGACTGAGTCATGGTGGAGCTTGGTTGGGCCACAATGTACCCTTGAGTTGAAGGATGAAGTGTTATGGGATTCTGGAAGGGACCTAGGGATTAAAAAGATGACAAAAGGTTAATATTCATCTAAGCTTCATCAGACAAAACTGCAATTTCCATTCATACAGTGCAGTGAACAAGCATTTGCCCCTTCCCAATTTCTTCTATTTTTGCATATCTGTCACACTTGAATGTTTCAGATCATCAAACTACTTTTAATATTAAACAAAGACAACAGTAAACAGAAAATTCTGTTTTTAAATAATGATTTCATTTATTGAAGGAAAAATGCTCTTCAGCCCTTCATAGCCCTATGTGAAAAACTAACTGCCTCCTTAGCTACTAAATTAACCAGTAAACTAAATTTAATCGACCACTTCAATTTCTCTAGCCACACCCAGTCATGATTAGTGCCAGACCTGTTGAATCTAAACATCACCTAAATAGAAACTGTCTGGCAATGTGAAGCAGGCTAGAAATTCTCAAAAAGGAGCACATGCTGCCACATTCTAAAGAGATTCAAATACAAATGTAAAACAAAAGTTACTGAAATGTCCCAGTCTGGAAGGGGTAATAAAGCCATTCCTAAGACTCTGGGGACTGCATTATCCACAAAGGGAGAAAACATGGAATAGTGGTAAGCTTTCCCAAGAGTGGCTGGCCTACCAAAATTTTACCAAGAGCGCTTCGACGACTCATACAGGACATCACAAAAGAACACAGACAAACATCTTTACTTGCCTAAGTTAAGGTCAATGTACATGATCCTACAATACGAAAGACAATGGCATCCATGGAAGAGTTGCAAGGACCACTGCTGACCAAAAAGAACTTGTCTTGCATTTGCCAAAAAACATTTAGATGACACCCAAAACTGTTAAGATGATATTCTGTGGACTGTTGAGTCAAAGGTGGAACTTTTTGGAAGACATGGGTCCTGTTACTTATGGCTTAAAGCTAACACTGGATTCCACATCATACCAACAGTCAAACATGGTGGCGGTAGTGCGATTGTGAAGATGTTAAACCCCGAGAAAGGGATTTTGGGTTTTACGGGTGGCTTACTGGTAAGGTCTGCGAGGGTGAGCCAACCAATAGGATGAGCAAGACCAAAAGTAGAGTGCACAAGCAAGCAGTTTATTTACACGACGTGAAAACAGGAAACAAAAAACTGTACAAAACGAAAAAAACAGAAATTACTGAAGGAGAATGTCCAACCATCGGTTTTGTCACCTAAAGCTCAAGTGCAGTTGGGTTATGCAGCAGGACCATGATCCGAAGCACACAAGCAAGCTCACTTCTGCATGGCTCAAAAGAAACAAAATTAAGATTCTGGAGTGGCCAAGTCAAAGTCCTGACTTTAATCCCATTGAGGTGATATGGGAAGACCTTAAACAAGTAGTTCATTCTCAAAATGTAGCCTAATTAAAACAATTCTGCGAAGAAGATTGGTCCAAAATTCCTTCACTGATTGCAGTTACTGCCAAGGGTGGCACAACCAGTTATTAGGTTTAGGGTGCCAATTACTTTTTCACATGGGTGATATAGGTTTTGAATAAATCTTCAATAATTACAATGATCTTCAGCTGCAGTTTTGTTTACAACACAGTTTTGTGTTGTCTTTATCTTATATTAAATTTAGTTGCATGATGTTAAACATTAAAATGTGACAAATAAGCAAAAATAGAAGAAATCAGGTGGGCAAATACTTTCACAGCACTGTATGTCAATAGACCAGACCCTAGGATCTGAGGACTTGTAGGCTTGTTTTCTTTCAGTAGATCAGAGACTATTTCTGGTCCTTAGCCACCAATTTATTTACAGAAAAGCTGGAATACTTTCAAATCAATTCTGTAACAATTTTCGATCTTAGTACTGGGGTAATACTGGGATAACATGCTCAGTTTTCTTTGTCCTGGAGAGCATTCTAACCGCTGCATTTTGAATACACCTGGCTTTTCTGCATTCCCTTTTGATAAATAGATCCCTGGTATTCTCATTTACATAGATTTCTTGACAGAAATTGGTCTGAATAGATCGGTTGAGGGTGGGAACAGCAGACAGGTTTGTTTAGGAACAGGTTTGTTCACATGCTATGACAGACAAGATGTGTCAAAAAGTGGCCTATATATTGTCAATAGTAAGTTTTGTGTTGTACCTTGCAACACAAGCTGCTTGCATTGGGAAATATCTATTAGCTATTGCACTGCCTTTATTGTTCGTTCAAGATGCATCCATTAAATTAAAATCTGTAGCAATTAATTCCATTAGAACAGCTGCATGGTTACTGCTGTCTGACCAAGTTTCATTCAAAAACAAAATCCACTGCATTCAAAAAAGGTAACTGGCTTAAATGATTTCTTCTAAAAAAAAATGTTGTGAAGTCATAATACTAGTGGCGAGATCCAAAAGATGTTGGTACTGACATGGAAATAATGTTTGGTTAGACTGTCGTACGACATTAGTTGTGCATGTGTCCTATTCATTCTATTTCCTATCGGAACTGGAACAGAAAAGGCTACTGGCACCCTGGGACCCTGCAGATATTAATTAGTGCTTACTGTCAACTACACCCTGCTGTTGCTATCATGCTTTACATGCTCTACTGTGCTATGTGCATCCTGGAGAAAATCATACTAAAATATTATTTTACTGCGATAAAACATTTTATATTGGCATTTGGTCAACTGTCAACTAAGACTGCTCTAAACTCTGCAGGATAAGGCTGACCAGCACAGACTTAGCACAACTGAGACTCTAGGTCTAGTGCATTGTATTTCAAATTCACGTTGTTTCTGCACATGCACATCTTTCCTCCTCAACTGCCTGTCAAGGCCACTGTACACCGGACACTACGTGTCACATAGTGTAGCGTCACACAGCATAGCATCACATGGCATAGCACTGCCACAGACTGTCATTAGCAAGAGCTGATAAAAGCTGGGTTCAAGTTCATATTCTACTCTTAAAAACTGAAAGAAATACAGCATTCAGCATCACTTATCACGCTCGGTATCAGTTCACTACCTCTTCACAAACTGGCTGTTTTTCAAGCTGAAAAATACAAGCTGAAAAAGCCTAGTCTAGTAACATTGGCTGACGTAACATAAACTTACCATTAGCATTTGCTTATTTAAAAAACTAAAAAAGACTACCTTTCTCTGTGTAAATTTAAAGCCACATTTAAAGCTTCTGTGGAGATCAAAGTAGGTGTCCCATTAACATTAAACTCTAATGAAATAATGTTCCACATCCCTGCTCCAGCTACATCTGCGCTGTCTATCAATTTGGTAACCTGTGACTTGCAGACAGACACACACTAACCCAAATCTGACCCCGTTAAAAAACACACAGAACCTTTTCCAACTCAGAAGGCTGTGAGCGTGAGCGTACGAATGAGTTAAAGGTACAAACAGGATCAGTCTGGCTGCGCTGTCGCATACTGTACATTTGACTACAAGATGTTCGTCACTTTGCACAGTACACAGTGGCCAACTCCATATGATAAACAGATTTACTAATACACTTTTAAAATTTATTTGTAAAATTACCTATAATGCTAGACATTTGAAAGGTTTGGCATAAGAGATGGAATCCGGTTAATGCATAAAATTTGACGTAAATATATACTGTGTAAAATGTGTTATCAATACTCGATTGTTATGATACACAATATGTTTCACAACATTTCTTTTTTTTGGGGGGGGCGGTGGGGGGTGATAATTCAGAACAGACACAATGCCCATTTTACTAGAGCTGTGACCATAACTGCAGTATCGCAATACCGCAATCATGTGATGATTGGAATCAATACCGCAATCATGTGATGATGGAATCATGTTGGTAGAGATCCTTACTATCATCACTGCAACTGGGTGGGTGCTAAGATGATGCAAGATAGTTGCTATAGTATCCTAGGTGGTTGCTATGATGTTGCTAGGTGGTTGGTATGGTATCCCAGGTAGTTGCTAGGTGGTTCCTATGGTATCTCAAGTGGTTGCTAAGGTGTTGCTAGGATGATGCTAGGAAGCTGCTATGGTACCCAAGGTGGTTGCTACGGTGTGGCTAGGTGAATGCTATGGTGTCACAGGTGGTTGCTAAGGTGTTGCAAAGTGGTTGCTATGCTTTGCTAGATGTTTGCTATGGTATCCCAAGCGGTTACTATGGTATCACATGTAGTTGCTAAGGTGTTGCTAGGCGATTACTATGGTATCCCAAACGGTTGCTAAGGTGTTGTTAGGCAGTTGTTATGGTATCCCAGGTGGTTGCTAAGGCTTAGCTAGGCGGTTGTTACGGTATCCCAGGTGGTTGCTAAGGTGTTGCTAGGGGGTTGTGATGGTATCCCAAATGGTTGCTAAGGTGTTGCTAAGCTTGTTATGGTATCCCAGGTGGTTGCTAAGGTATTGCTAGGCAGTTGCTATGGTATCCCATGCAGTTGCTAAATTGCTGCTAGGCAGCTGCCATGGTGTACAGTGTGTTCATTAAAGAGTAACTACACCCTAATACCTTTTCTTTTTCCATTAACAGCTGAAATGCACTGCGCTTTAATAATAAAATATACAAGCCTTGCTTGAAATGTGAAAACATCTTTCCAAACTGTAAAAAAAATAAAATTTTTATCGTATTCAGTTCCACCTCTGCAGGGCCCTCTGGTTCAACTCTGCTATAGGTGCGGATCATGTGTCTTCGTACATCACAGTATGCAAATCAGTCAACCAACGTTACTGCCTCCTGATGACGCCCTACTCATGCTGCACTCATAAATATGAAAGCATAAGAGCCTAGAGCGAGGAGATAATCGCACTCAGCACCCTCAGCACCACCTCACAAGGCTGCGATATACCAGGTGTCTGTACCAACTGTAAATAACTCAATTAATCTAAGCTTAGTTTGTAATAAATATGTTGGACCAATTAAGTGAGGATTCTTCCAAGTCTCCATAAAGCTGCCAGTGTTGCATCCAATTCACATTTCCCTTCCCAACTCAAACCCTCAGGCGCACGCACTCACTGAACAGTAATCAACGGCAAGCAACTCTGGAACTACAGAAAGGAAATGGTTCAGGAAAGGTTAACATTAAATGGCCCTTGTTACCGACTGTGTCAACCTTTCATCCGTACAGCCTTTCTCAGACATTCTTCTTGCTTTCTGTAGTTCCAGTGTTGCTTGCCATTGATTTCTGTTCAGTGAGTGGAAGCGCCCGAGGATTCGATTTATGTAGGGGAACATGAATTTGAGGAAGAACTGAAACAGATGTAACACCGGTAAGTGCCATGAACAGCTTGCAGAATGTAAGGATTTAGGGCAGCTGCAGGAAACCCTGTCTGACCGGCAATGCAGTCTGCGACCTTGATGTCAAACTGAATAAAACTTAGACAATGTTCAAAGAAATCCACTTTATTCATTCAGAATTCAGTGCATCTAAGAAATCAGGTTTTATCGAATATGGACCTGCTGAACAGATAATTAGAAGATAGCTGTTACAATTTTAGGGAATGTTCTACCATTTGGACCCCTTACCCACTCACTGCTAATCATGTTCAGGCACTACGTTAACTCTTCGGCGGCTTGAGTCAGTGGCTCATACCGTTAAGGCTCAAGACGCACTGCCTGATAAGAAACACCTTACCTCGTCAAAGATAGGGATGCTAGTAGAGAAAAATCATCAACCTCGTAAGTTGCAGAAGTGCCGTGTGATTGTCACTCTCTATATTTTCTAGTTGCTAACATTAGCTATGAAACACAGCAGCTCAGCCCCCTTGGTTTCCCTCGCAGCCCCACCTCCAAACCCGAACATTACTGTAGTGCCCCTCCCAGCGTGACCCTCCCATTTTTCGTTTCCAAACCATAGGGTTACATTGCAAAATATTGAATATCGACCCACAATTCTCATATTGGTGCATCTCTACCATCATTACTATTTTTTTTATTCAATGTTTCATTTACAGCATTGCCCTAAATCAAACTGGATTAATTATGCTCTCTTTTTAATGAAACATGGGCAATGTTCTTGAAGTACTGAGCATATCTACAAAGTACCCAGAAAAGCTGACTTATCCGTGGTGTAATTTATAACAATAACAACTTGTCAGATTGACAAAGGAAAAACATGCCCATAAATACTCAGGAATACTCAGATCTCAAATCTGTAAAGCTTGAATGAAAATGAAAGAAAAAAGGAAGGGTGCACCGTCAAAGAGTACACCATCACAATCATGAAATAGTAGCTGCTACTGTAATCAGCGATTTCTCTTTTTTGATCATTGAATGCAACTATTAAGGTACAAGCCTAAAGTGGCCAAACTGGCTGATTAACTCTCATTTCCTTGCTATCAATACACACTAACTACCAACTAACAATACACACAGCTCAAGCTCAAATAAACAAACACTACTCACCAGCACCCTCTAAATGTGTTACAGCACCAATCAGAAGTTAGAACTGTTTTCCTAAGACCTATGACACGTCTTAAAAAAAAAAAAATTCTGCTTTCATTTATTTACATATACTTGTCTCAACCCAACTTATCAAAACACACCCAATTCACATTCTGTTTGTTGGGACGTAAAATATTTGATTGAAAAAGCTAACAACTGTGAAAAAAATATATAAAATGTACTCCGCTTAAATAATTACAGGCAATTATGTTATTAGTTGTGAAAGGCCTAGCACCAGCCACACAGAGCACCTATTGGAATAAATGTCCAAGTTATGTTAACAGTCTCTGGTGGACAAGAAGTAAAGTTCTTTGCCGAAATCTGAAAAACATTTGTAGGCAGAGCTGGCAACCTCTGGAGTTTGCTGAAAAACAGATCTATTTTGTATTTTCTGACCAGAAAAGTTCATTTCAATCAAAGTTATGTTTCAGTGACAATAGATGTTTTCTTCTGTCAGGCTAACAGTGTGTTGGCTTGGAGGTGTTGTCTAATCATAGTTTTGGAGACTTTTTGGATAACTATAGCTGCCCAACTGCGGTCCTTGTAGCCATTTTTATGCTATGGAAACCATCTCTGTGCCAGGCAAGAAAATACACTTGCATTTCCTTGCAAGCAAGCTCATTCCAGTTGTCCGGAAATCCTTAGTTCTTGCCTTAATAGTAGAAATGGGTATTTTCATGTGTAAAGCAATTTTATATTCATTGCCTGATTCATAAAAGTCAAGAACTATTTGTCTCACTTCTTCTGTGTACTTCATGTACCAGTGAAAAAGAAAGTCATGAACGATCACTTAAGTAGTCCTACGGAGTTTAATTGTGCTTTGATGTCGATAATGGATACTGCACAAGAGAAAAGAGCTTAAGATCAAGGTTTGAAACATGCATAACCAACACTTCTTTGGTGTGCAAATTTACTACTAACACCTTATTACGCAACTAATAAAGTAAAAGAGTCAACTTTGATTTCAGGTACACGTCAACAAGTTAAAAATTAATAAGCATATGCCAGTCATACCTACAGAAGCAGACATTCATTTTAATGAGTAATATGGTTCGGTTGTTTCATTGACTTTGCTCATTTTTAATCAAGGTTGTTGACAACAGGGCACTGTAGTTCCATTTAGTTCCATCGCAATTTCTGAATTTCATTTTCACAGAACAGCTCCACATTGTGTTCCATTTAGACACTACACAAAGAGAGCAAAGAAATACAAGACACACTGGCATAAGAACATCCAGTTTTTAGCATGCAAAGGCAAACAAAAAAGACTAAGATTTTGGTTCTGGACTTCAACATCAATATTATATTTAAACTAAATTTGAGCAGCAGGACTTTTCTGTTCCTGTACCTTACATAGATTCACTGTATTAGAAACAAGGTCAGATTAACCAAATTCTAGTCTGATTAAGCCAAACCGTATACATTTTGTTTTGTTACGATATTTTACAGCCAAGTAAATTAAAAGACTATTTAGAGTGACACTACAGGGCCAAGGAAAGTTTGTAATATTTGTGTGTGTGTGTGTGTTTAAGTGGGATATCAGATATGACTGCCGGTTTAAAGTCGGAGCTTATGTAAAAGCGCTCTCAAATTCTAGCCGCCAAGCAGCACACTTCACAAACACGAGTTTACATTTTAATTATCTAACATTAAAATGGAAGAGATGCGCGAACATGTGGCTGTTAACCGGACGACAAACGAAATTTGTCTAAAGCTATGGCCGTGCGGGTTCACTTTAAACGACGCTGCCAAAATTAGTTTGAAAACATGTCTAGAATCTAGCCTGCTAACTAATCCTAACTACTAAGATTTTGAAGGCGGCTAGCTAAACTGATCGACTAACAGCAAATGCGTCGGCAAAGTTTAACTAACTAAACATAATAATTCACATTACTCAGTTAGATTAAGTTAATAGCTGGGTAGCTAACCAGGTGAGCAAATGTAGCTGGCTAATTTGGCTGTGTTATAAGCTGTCACATTACAGGTCTGTAGAAAGATTTTAACGTTAATGTCACCAGCTCAAGTTTGACAAATAACGTAAACGTTAGACTACCAAGTCACAGTGAACAAATACAAATAAAATATACCTTAGATAGCTAACCTAGAGAACTTACCATTAATATACGACGCCCCACTAGCCCCATTCCGAGAGCTGAAGCCACCATTTGACATCTTGAAATAGGAATTCCAAGAAATTTAAGGTGATGCGTTGGCGAGTCGTTAGCTCAAAAGCTAACTTAGTTAACCAACTAAACAAGTAACCTAACGACGTAATGAATGTCGTTCCTGCCAAGTAAAAAACAGGAAAGAATACGCCTCTCAAAGTAATTTTTTACTTCTGCCTCGGAGCTATAAAACCAAAAAAAAAACTAATCTAACTTATCTACAAGATGATCATGGTTGTGTACTCATTCCTTCTACGTAGCAATTGCCCTATCGAAAATGATCATTTTGTTCACAGGAACTTCCTACGGTTTAGCAGGAACGTATACTCATCAAGCATGCGCAGTTAGTACACGTGGCATTTCCTGTCCGTAATATTTGTAAGCGTGCTGGAAACAAGTATAATTATTTGCTGTTGAAATCTCGATAAACGTGGTCAACTTGGGCAAAGAATATTAAGTGCAGTTTTAAATGATAATTATTTCAAGATAAATAAAACCATAGAGCCACTTTACGGGGCACAGCGAACATGCCCGTGGTCCCTTGGTTGCTTTTGTTCTGAATGCATGAAGTGCGTAGATTACTAGCTAGCTATCACCGACTTACTCACAGAGTGGCGATAGATAGACAAAAATATACCAAAAAAACAAAATAGCGTATTTATGATTTAGCTGTCGCTTTCATATCTTTACATTTACTTTTATTATTATACGTCATTTCTATTCTTTCCGTCCTGATTTGCCGTTAATATCGATAGCACTCCCGGAAGAATTAACTGGTAACACAAACAGGAAGCAGCTGGGCAGGCCAGGGGAGAGACTGTCAGCCATTGCTGTGTGTGTCGTGGCTGTATCGCAAAACACGAAGGCAGGAAAGACGCCGTTTGCTAGTGTTTGCCGGAGTTCATTATCAGTAGTATCGAAGAGAAAACGTAACTCATCTGTACATCTACATATAAATACGAGGTATGGCTTTACGATTTCGACTTGTACTTCGTACACCTGGACAGCAGGGCTGTTTCAGCTCCATTGCTAGCCAACTTATGTTGGCTAACAGCCGATAAGCTAGGCTAAATTCAACAGGAAGCTTAAAAATAGTGCACCTGGAAGTTATTTAACTAGTAATTCAACAGCTGCCATGTATTATGTGTATTCTGTGTATTGGCTTAAAATTAGTTATTTGTATATATCTAGTCGATGTGATGTTACACGTGAATGCTGTTGTTCTACATTGATATGTATAATCATTTCGCTTGCTAACGTTTTAATCAGTCGCTGTCGTTGGAAGAACATCCGCTGTAATCTAGCTAGATAGTTAGCTAGGTTAGCTAACGTTAGCTCTCAGGCGTCAGTGACACGTAGATAGAAATTTTCAGCAGGTTAATGATTAGAGCGTTTTCTTCAGCACAAAGAATTAAGTGTAGTCAATCGTGAATGTAATTGTGTTTTCAGAAGTTTGTGTTTTTATATTTTGTGTCCATTAGAATAAGAGTGCGTCACTTTTTGTCCACAAGCCAAATGACAAAAATCTGTTTTAAGCATTTTTTTATTTTATTCATAGAATGACATTTTAACAGCATTCTCATAACGATTGTTAACATATCACACGCGTGAGCACTGGCCTCAGAAGTTGTTTTTATTATTTTGTAATTGTCTTTTCTGTAACGGTTGTGTAATGATCCTAATGGAATGGTTCGCAGGAAAAAATCAAGCATACTTATTTTCCCGTTTTTCCCAAAGATAGTCGATGGGTCTGAGGCTTGTTTGGTCTCTGAAGTTTAGTTTTGCAGTGGAGCTGTGAGGCTTATATACCTAACAAGTAGAGGAAGTATGTCCCTCAAAATCTATTTAGCTGACATAGACTTCTGTTATTTAGGCCTCTTAGCTCCAGGGCAAAACTAAAGAGGCAAACCTGACCCATCAACTTCATTTGTGATTTGAGGAAATTGATTCAGTTTGAATATTGTGTGAATCATCTTGCTTCCCTTACTGAGTTGTCTTTCATAAGTCTTTCTCGGCCTTACATTCCTCAAAGTACAGTTAACATGGTGACAGACCAGCTGATTATACTTGTTTAAATTTAGCAATTTTTTAAATTTGCAACTGCCATCTCTGATGTATTCCCTTTTCAGGTTAAAAAGAAAGTCCCAACTGCAAATTGTTCAAGTAATTAAACTTGGTTGCACAGATGTTGCTCTGTGAGCTTATAATGGAAGCATCTGTCTGGAATAGAGCACTCAATAGGGAAACATGCTGACATGTAATTTATCTGTATTTGTATGCTCTTGACCTTTGCTGTTGCTATACTTTAACCCAGTGTTAGTGTACAGCTTGTGCAATTTGGATCACAGGTTGCTCTGATAACTCCACATCAGTGGAAATCGATGACAATACGAATACCATGATAATGTAATCCTGAAATCCAATGATATATTGCCACTCGTAATGGATGAGCCAGAAAGTTTGAGAGTGAGTAGTACTTTCCGACTGCATTCTTCTTTGTTCATGCTTGTTGTTCAGTTTTAACGGGACGATGAGTGAAGGAGTTATTTCATGATTACTGTAGTGCAGGTTGTAGCACTAAAATCAAGAAAAATCTGTGAGTATGTTTTTTGTAGTTTGTTTGCATAAAAAGAGAAAGAGATACCGCATGTGGGCAGGGTTTTATCATGTAGTGCAGCATTTGTTTGACTTTGGAAGCTAATAAAAATGACAGTTAATGCCACAGTGAACAAATTCCAGTAAAATATAACTGAGTTAAGGAACTTACCATATGTAACCCTATTCTGCCTTTCCTTAGTTAAGGAACTTACCATTGATATGTGAGCCCTATTCTAAGAGTTGAAACTGTTTGACACCTTGAATTAGGAATGCAAAGATGAAATTTGAGGTGCTTTGTTGGCGACTCGTTAGCTAACAACCTAATTCAAACAACTAAACAAGTAACAACATAACGTATCATGTTCCTGTTGGCTATTAGTAAAGGCTCAAAAAGACTGCTATGACTGCAAAATAAGGGTCCTTGATTAGTGTTTGGATATAGGCTTTAAGTTGAAATATGTATGGAACAAATAGGACTGTACAACTAATACATATAAATAAGGTGTATATTACAAGCTTAAAAATACAAACATTCTCATAAGCACATTTTGCTACAGGGGAGACTGCTTACAGTGTCAATATTGTCATGTAAGATTAATAAAATTCATGATTATATGACATGAGTAAAAAAAAAAAGTCTCAAGTGTATGAGAGCCCTTACATATTGCTGTTAAATATTTGAAGTGCTGTCTTGATGATGGCCTATATTGTTGTTTGTTTTCTTTCTCAGAATTTACGAGATCCGGATATGTCCTTCATATTTGATTGGATTTATAGTGGTTTCAGTAGTGTACTGCAATTTCTAGGTAAGTACAACCTTTTCACATTCCACAGAATACTCCAAATGACTGGAAGCATATTGTGTTATTAGTGTATTCATCATAAATAATTAGCTTCAGAAAGTACACCACAAGGCCCTGTAGCCCCTTCTCAAGGTTAATTTTGACAGTAACCTTTGAAGGCTGTTCTCAACAGAATCTCTCCCTGTCAAGTTTGTTGTCATATGCAGTGCCCTTTAAAAATGTTAGCACTGTGGTGAACTTGAGCAGAACTGTCTGTAAAAATTCTTTTTTGATCTTTTGTTCAAAACATTAACAAAAATCTAACAAATATTTGAAGTACAGTGATTGAAAAAATCCTATCATGAAATAAGTATTTTCTTAAATCTGTGGTATAATAAAGGATAATGGCTCTGAGTCTTCTCCCATAAGGCTTATTGAGACTCAAGAACACATGGCAGGAAATCTCCATACAGAATCTCTAATCTGTCACACAGATCCATCAGATGCCAAGGACCACATTTGTGGACTCTACTCTTCAGATGATTGCCGGCTAGAACATCCAACCATGGCACAGTTTAAGCTTTCTGACTGAGGCAGTCATGTTTAATTTAATATCTGTTGGTGTTTGATGGAGTCCATGACACACTGCATCCAAACAAGTTGTCCAGGGCCTTTGGAAGAGAAACAGCCCCAAACAATCACAGATCCACCACCATACTTCGCAGTGGGAATGACACATTTTTCTGCAAGACTATCTTTATGTCTATGCCAAACCCAGCTCTGGTGTTTGTTGCCACAAAGCTCTATTTCTGGCTCTTCTGACCATATAACACAGTCCCACAGAAAATTCCAGTAACATCTGGCAAACTGTAGACTCTTCAGTTTGATGGTCCTGGACAAAAGGCTTACTTCTGGCAACCTCTCTGACAGTGTGTGGTTATATAGCTGACATCTGATTGTAGTTTGACCCCATGATGTAACTAATGTCTGCAGTTCCCCAGCTGTGATCTTTGGATATTCTTTGGCCACTTAAACCATCCTCTTCACTGTGTGGGGTCAGTAAAGACATACATCTACCTGACGCTACGTCACCCTGGAATCTCTAGAGAAATTCAGTTTGGTCACATACTGCTTATTACATTTGGGCACAATTAGTACATGTGTAGTATGTAGTAGTACTGTAGTAGTAGTATTTCGAAAACAGTATAAGGGAATTTGGCCTGTGTAACCTCATATTTATGCCCCAGTGGAAATCATGGCTGACCATTTAAGAGTTTCTAATTGCTCAAGTGAAATTGCTTTAAACATAGAATATGAATGGGAATAGATGTCAGTTAAATCTCACTCATAAGAATTTTTAGAGGTGTCCAATATTTGTGGCACAAAAATTTGAGAAAAATACTTATTTCATGATATTTTTTTCTTTTCTTTCAATAATTGTACTTCAACTGAAGCTTAGATGTTTGTCAGTATTTTGAAGAAGAGATCATAAGGAGAAACAAAATGTTTTTTACAGCCCTCTTTTGCTCATGTTGATCAGGGGTGCCAATATTTGTGGCACTGTATATTTGTACTGAAATTAAACAGCTGCAGTCTACATCCCAAAATTATTTGCAAAATACCTATTGACGCAAGAGTAAAGATTTAATTATGGTAAACCGTAGTGCTTTGTTGTTCTGTATAAGTGGTGTAATAATGCACGCATTTTTAGGTTTAATACTATTTAATTCGATTTTTAGGATTTTGAGCATTAACAATGATTTGATTTAAATCTCTAATTATACTAATATTATGGGTTTGGCTCTGATTAGTTTGGCAGTGCCAGCCCTCTAGCAAAGTAAACCTCAAAAGTTGCACCCCCACAGTTTATAGAGTGTGGGTATGTGTATAGCCTAAACCACTTTTCCTTCCCCTCCGAATATACGCTGATTGGATGCACCCAGATGTCTAGTTTTAATCATTGACAGTAGTTTCCACAAAAGTCGGGGGACACTTGAAAGAGGTGGCTGTATCAGAAATACTGTTTTAAATTTTAATATGCTGTTGTGAACATTAATTTTTGCGATTTTTCAGTGTATGTGTTGTCATGGAACTTTGAGGTGCATAATCTATCTCAGTTAAGTTTCTGTTAACATTTAAATGAGAGCACTACCCATGTACTGTGTAAGTATTAGGTATGAATTTACATGGAGATATTGGTGTGTCAGCAGAGACTGGCTGAAAATTCTTCTTGCTCCTTCAGGGCTGTACAAGAAATCGGGCAAATTAGTATTTCTTGGCCTGGACAATGCTGGCAAGACAACGCTACTGCATATGCTTAAAGATGACAGACTTGGTCAGCATGTGCCAACCTTACATCCAAGTAAGTCTAAGCCAAAATAACCACATTTTTTACTTTAACACTAAACTCTCAAACACTTAAACACAGAGATTAATGTTTTACATCTTCTAGTACCGAATTCAACTCATGAAGGGCTTAATTACTGCTTACACAAAGATATGTAGCATTAACTGTGCAGCTAAGCACTGGTGTCATTGGTATTTTATCAGAAGAGAAATTCTCAAATATTTTTACAGAATATGTGCCTGTGTATTTTTTCAGCAATGATCTTGTGTTGTGACGAAAAGGTTGAGAACCACTGGTTTGTAACATCATTAACTTCTGAGGATACGTAATATTTATGCTGTCTATACCTTTGCTTATATTTAAAAATTTAACGTTTCAAGTACAAATATACAGGAAATATTTGTATTTAATTTCTGAACCCAGGTGATAGCGCTAAAGTTTGTTTATGTGAGTGAAAGCGTTCATGTTTGGTGGCAAGGAATGATAAGTAAGGATAAATTATGAGTTGGAAATGGGAAGCTATCTTAGTGTTTGTGGGAACTCCTTTTTTTGTTTGATTCTTTAGCCTCAGAAGAGCTGACAATTGCTGGCATGACCTTCACCACTTTTGACCTTGGTGGCCACGCACAGGGTAGGTAGTGCAAAACATTACCTTCATTAACCAACTGTGTGACAAAGTGCTCATATACAGTATTTGTCTCCTAGCACGAAGAGTATGGAAAAACTACCTCCCGGCCATCAACGGCATTGTCTTTCTTGTTGACTGCGTAGACCACCCTAGACTGGCCGAATCCAAAACAGAACTTGATGTAAGTTGTGGCCATTGTTGCAGCTGTTAACTAGCATTCCACATTGCTATGTTTATTTAATGGGATGTGATTTGCATGCATATTGATTTTAATAGCAGTAATTATATGTAGTATTCAGAATGCAAATTTGACGCCTCTAGTACACGAGTAAAACAAGCTGTAAAAAAACACTTTTCATTGCTTATCGTTTGATCTTTCATTCAGAATGCTAACCAAAACCTTACTTTTATGATGCACAATGATTGAAATTAAAAAATAAATCTGATCATGAAATATTTTTCTGTATTCCAGACTACGTGTGCCACAATTACTAGCACTTCATTTAATACTTGTGCAGCCATCCTTTGCAAAGATAACAGCTCTGAGTCTTCTCGTTTAATGCTTCTATAAAAATGAGACTGGAGAACACATGGCAATAGATCTTAGACCATACTCTATACACAGTCTTTCCAGATTCTTCAGATTTGAGGTCCACAATGGTGGATTCTCCTCTTCAGCTCATCCAACAGGTTTTCTAAGGGGTTTGGGTCAGGGGACTAGGATGGACATGGCAAAACTGTGGTCAGTGAAACATCACCGTAATTCATACCATAATTTACAGCTGGGATAAGGTACTTCTCGGCATGGCTATCTTTGTGTCTACACCAAAACAACCTTTGGTGGTTGTTGCCAAAGGGCTCTGTTTTGGTCTCCTTTAACCATAGAACACAGTCCCACACAAAGTTCCATCATCGTATGGCAAACTGTGGGTTCTTGAGTTTGTTGGTCCTTGACAGCAAAGGCTTTCTTCTGGTAACCCTCCCAAACAATTTGTGGCGGTGTAGGTGGTGTTTGATTGTAGTTTGGGAGATGTCCTGACTGATGGACACTGGGAACTGATGTCTGCAGTTTCCCGTCTGTGATCCTTGAAGATTATTTGACCACTTGAACGATCCTTCTCACAGGATTCCTATTCCTATGTCCTATTCCTGACAAACTTCAGTTGCTTTACACTTCTTAATCATTAGCCTGATAGTAGAAATTGACATTTTCAATTGCTTAACTGTTTTGTTGTTGCCATTTCCTGATTTCTGCAGCTTAATACCGTTTTGTGGTGTGTTCCTGTATTTTGTGGTCTTGCTCATAAAGATGAATGACTAAGGGAATTTGGCCTGTGTTACCACATATTTATACCTCAGTGAAACGGGAAGTTGCGGATGACCATTTAATTGTTCATAATTGCTTTAAAATGTGAAATATTAATGGTAATACACCGATCAGGCATAACATTATGACCACTATTATTAACGAATATCGCGATAATTTCAACCAGTGACGATATGAGGTGAATTATCGTTTTATTTTTTATCATGTACCCTTGCCATGTGAATTATTCCTTTTTTTGTTGTTGTTCTTTGTATTTAACCATTGACTTAGTACAAGCATTCAAATCTATGGTAGGTTAAAATTTTAGACCTAAGCTATAACAGCAAAGACGGCATTTAAGTATAGACCACGCAAACATAACTAATTCACTACAAATATACGTTTTAAAACGTCACTTGAAAAGATTAGAATGTAGTGTTTCAGTCTGGCAAAGAATGCTGGGTGTATGCAAATGAAACACTCCGCTACATGTGACCATCTCCCTAGACGGTGAAAAATGGATGAGCTTGTACAGAAGAAGGGTGTTTACGCGCCCATTTGGCAATATTTTGGTTTCCAACCCGACGAACACAGAGAACCGTTAGATGTTAACAGTGTTACATGCCGTCTATTCGGAAAACTGATCATCATCAAAGGCGGCAATACAGACCTTGAATCCACAGTACAAGCTGCCAAGCCGTAAGTACTTCAGCAAGACAGCGGCGCCTGAGATGTGTAATAATGTTAATTGTGTATGAAACAAACTAGGTTGTTAAAGACTATAATCATGATAATATTAATAATTATTTGTAGCACGTCATGCGCTAACCCGGGCTCGAGGACGCTGGAGGCAGGAAAAACTTTTGCAGCAGCCATTCCTTTAATATTTGCTTCAAACTCACACAAAATAAACTCAACAAAACCAACCAGCTCTTCAGTCAGTCTCTGTTGCTGCTGCTCATCCCTCTCTCTTTCTGTTCCCTCTCTGCTCTTTTTAAAAGCACCCAAGCCAAGAGGGAACGAGAGCTCGCTGCTCCGTCTCCTCGTCACTGCCCCCAGCTTGTAGCTCGGCCGCCCGAGACAAACATGAGGTGTAGTGAAGCAGCCTCACTGCGGAACAGGGGGCAGGGCCTGGGCGGCAGGGCTCGGGACTCGCTCCTTGCCCTGGTGCCCCTTGTGGCCGGCGCCGCCGTTCTCCTCCTCCCGGCGTCACTCGCGAGACTCGCGACCCTCTGCGAAGCTCGGGCTTTGCGCTCTGCATCCCCACCCCACTATGCAGCGGTTCATTTACATAGGCTGCAATAAAATGATCACGTGACTGAAAGGCCCACTCACTTGAGTTTTCTTCGTAAATTAATTTTTAACACGATAATATCATTTATCGCGATAATTCTGGAGACGATAATCGTTTGTCTAAATTTACATTATCGTCCAAGCCTAATGACCACCTCCTTGTTTCTACGCTCATTGTCCATTTTATCAGCTCCAGGTGCACTTTGTAGTTCTACAATTATAGACTGTAGTCCATCTGTTTCTCTGCATACTTTGTTAGCCCCCTTTTACCCTGATATTCAGTGGTCAGGACCCCCATGGACCCTCACAGAGCAGGTACTATTTGGGTGGTGGATCATTCTCAGCACTGCAGTAACACTGATGTGGTGGTGGTGTGTTAGTGTGTGTTGCGCTGGTCTGAGTGGATCAGACACAGCAGTGCTGCTGGGGTTTTTAAACACCTCAGTGTCACTGCTGGACTGAGAATAGTCCACCAACCAAAAATATCCAGCCAGCAGCGTCCTGTGGGCAGCATCCTGTGACCACTGATGAAGAACTAGAGGATGACCAACACAAACTGTGCAGCAGCAGATGAGCTATTGTCTCTGACTTTACATCTACAAGGTGGACTGAAAAAAAACTAAAAACCAAAAAAAAAGAAGGAGTGTCTAATAAAGTGGACAGTGAGTGGACACAGTGTTTAAAAATTCCAGCAGCACTGCTGTGTCTGATCCACTCGTACCAGCTCGACACATATTAACACACCACCACCACATCAGTGTTACTGCAGTGCTGAGAATGATCCACCACCTAAATAGTCCATGCTCTGTGAGGGTCCATGGGGATCCTGACCAATGAAGAACAGGGTAAAAGGGGACTAACAAAGTATGCAGAGAAACAGATGGACTACAGTCTGTAATTGTAGAACTACAAAGTGCACCTATATAGTAAGTGGAGCTGATAAAATGGATAATGAGCATAGAAACAAGGAGGTGGTCATAATGTTATGCCTGATCGGTGTATACTTCAGTTAGATTTCATTCACAAAAATTTCTAAGGGTGCCAGCAATTGTGCACAGATTTGAGAAAAATATTTATTGCATGATTGTTTTTTTTTTTTTTCTTTCAATTAGTGTAATTAAAATGTTTTGAAAGAAAATTCAAAAGATAAGCAATAAGGAATGTTTTGGGTCTACAGCCTGTTTTACCATTTTTTTTTTTTCTTTTCCCGGAGGGGTTCCAATATTTGTGAAGGGCATTGTGTAGATTTTGGGTATGTATATGAGGAAAGCTCAAGATGTGTTTCATTTTAACAATTAAATATTTATTTTTTGTTGTTATTATTATTATTATTATTATTATTACTACAACCACATTTCCGAAAAAGGTTGGCATGCTATGCAAAATGTAAATAAAAACAAAATGCAATTATGTGCAAATCATTTAAACCCTGTATTTTATTGAAAATAGTACAAAGAAGATATCAAATGTTGAAACTGAGAAACTTTGTTTTTTGAAAAATATATGAACATTTTGACTTTAATGCCAACAGCATGTTGCCCCGTCCCGACTTTTTTTGAAACAAAAGTTGTGTAATGCAAAAAAAACACACCTGGTTGTCGGCACCAGGTCAATAACATGATTGGGTATTAAAAAGAGCATCCCAGAGAGGCTGAGTCTTTCAAAGTCTGTCAAATAGTGCAACAATTTAATGATAACATTTCTCAATATAAAATAGCAAAGAATTTGGTAATTTCATCATTTATGGTACATAATAAACGATTCAGAGAATCTAGAGAAATCTCTGAATGCAAGGGACAAGGCCAAAGAACAGTATTTATTGGCCATGATCTTTGGGCCCTCAGATGGCATTGCATTAAAAACGGGCATGATTCTGTAGTGGAAATCACTGCATAGGCTCAGGAACACTTCTGAAAACCACTGTCTGTGAAAACAGTTCGGTTATGCATCTAGAAATGATTATTAAAACTCTTAAATGCAAAGAAGAAAGCATATATAAACAGGATCCAGGAATGCCTCCACCTTCTCTGGGCCCAAGTTCATTTAAAATTGACTGAGGGGAAGTGGAAAAGTGTCCTCTGTTTTTTTTTTATTTATTTATTTATTTTTTTTTTTTTGGGAAATCATGGAGACTGTGTCCCTTGGGCTAAAGACCACTCAGCTTGTTTTTAGTGCACAGTTCAAAAGCCAGTATTCATGATGGTATAGGTGTGCATGGCATGGGTGACATGCGCATCTGTGAAGGGACCATTAATGCTGAATGATATATTCATGTTTTGGCAACATATGCTGCCATCCAGATGACGTCTTTTTCAGGGAAGGACTTGCTTATTTCAGCAAGGTAATGCCAAAGCATTCTGCGTGTATTACAACAGCATGGTTCCATATTAAAAGACTCCAGGGGCTAAACTGGCCTGCCTGCAGTCCAAACCTGTCACTCACTGAAAAAATACAACAAAGGAGACCCCGAGCTATTGAGCAGCTGAAATCCTATGTTAAGCATGAACGGGAAAACACATCATATTCAAAACTACAGCAGTTGGTCTCCTCAGTTCCCAAACGAGTGTTGTTAAATGGAGAGGTGATGCAGCTCAGTGGTAAAAATGCCCCTGTCCCAACTTAAACATGTTGTTAGCAGACTGGCGACCTGTCCAGGGTGTATCCTGCCTTCCGCCCAGTGACAGCTGGGATAGGCTCCAGCACCCCACTGCGACCTAGAAGGATAAGCGGTTTAGATGATGGATGGATGGATGTTGTTAGCATCAAAGCATCAAATTCAAAATGGGCACATTTTTCAAAAAAACAACACAATTTCTCGGTTTAAACATTTGATATGTTGTCTTTGTACTATTTTCAATGAAATACAGGGTTTCAATGATTTGCACATCATTGTAATTTGTTTTTATTTACATTTTGCACAGCCTCAACTTTTTTGGAAATGGGGTTGTATTACTATTGTTGTTTGTTGTTATTCTTATTATTATTATTATTTAAATTTCAAGCATGAAAGACTACAGGGTAGTGGGAAAACAGATTGGTTAGCAATAATCATCATAGCAAGTAACATAAAATGCCAATCTGAGGGATTCTGACCAGGTTGCTGAGACTGTCTGAACTTGTAGTGCAGGAGTGTAGAGGAAACATCAACATTGTTTAAAAAACTGAAAACAAGACTTTTTTCAGTCAACTCGTGTAAGAGGTAAAACCCACCTCATACCCAAACACATGTTAAAGCTCTGATGTAGTAGTCTTGACGGATACAAAGGAGAGCATGCTTGCTAGTGGTCTGGAGCAGTAACGAAAGCGTTTAGACTGCACTGGGCAAATAAAACTAGCAGTAACATCTTAAATTAGATTAGATATCTCTGACTACTGCCGAGATATCATCATGGCTTTGACAGGGAAGGACCATTTGACTGACGTAAAAAGTAGGGTTGTATCAGTACCATTACTTGTATCTGTCACCATTTGACGTATGTACACTGCCGCACTAATGAACAAACGACTGAAGCTGGTGGTGAAGGAGGCTCTGCTCACTCAAAAGTGTTGCTGACGCCATGACAGTCGGACACAAAGTCGTCACTGGGCACGATGGTCTATTCAAACGTACAATGTGAGTCACCAAAGAACAAAATTACGACAACTAAAACCCCACACAGGCATCATGTGATTCGTGCTGTCACTGTGCTGCCGAGACTGTTGTTGAAAGACATAGATGAGGAGCAAAAATACAGTTGTACAGAAGTGTTTTTGTGATGTGGAACAAGCATTAAATAAAGCATAGCTAGCTAATGCACTTAATTTCAAATTGGCTAGATTTTATTGATTTAACTGTTAATGTTGCACTCTTTTACTCTTACAACTACTTTATCTGTATGCCACACTTGTTGACACTCTTAGAAATAGAGTAAAATCTAACTATAAAATCTGTAGTCCCAGTCAGTGTGGCATGTATCGGACTTGGTATCGGCAAATACTAAAAAAACATGTACTCGCACTTGTAAAAAAATGTATTGGTCCATCACTAGTAAAAAGGCTAATCATAACTTGCTATTTTTGCATGACGCATTATCTTGCCTTTATTAGATACATTGACGCTATACGCTGCTGCTGACTCGCTCACGTTTGACTTCGTATGAAGCTTTGTTTCCCATTTGACTAATAAAAACTGATGCACTGAATAGTGTGCATTCTGTCAGGACAAAACCTTGCATCTCCAAATAGTAACTTTGGGGGGAAAAAACTTTTTAAAATTTGGAATTTCTGATGTAAAACAACATTCAGCACGGCTTGTGGCAAGCCAGAGAAACTGCTTGTGCTTATGTGTACACACCACAGGTTTGTCTGTGTTGATCTCTTCTTTTTTTATTTATTTTGCACTATGCAGGTATATACTTAAGTTGTTACACATGGTTCTTATTGGTAAATAAACTAGTATCTAGTAAATAAATAAGCAAAATTAGGTTTTCTTTAGCATGTAATACATGTAATCAAACAAGTAAATGCCATTCACATCTATTCCAAAGGGCAAATGCCATCTAATTACTTTAGTGTTTTATTTGTGACACAGAACATAGATTTTACCAAAGTAAAATATTTAAAAAATGTGATTGTATAAATATCAAGACTTACAGATTAGTCAGTTTAGATAAGCATATATTTAAGGTGTTGTTGGTATCAGTGTGTCTTTTATTTATTCTTCAATTTATTCTAGTGCTCTGGACATCGTTAGTTCCCTTAACAAGTAAGTTCAACCAGTTATTTTTAAGCAGGGAAGTTATTAAACTGTTCTGGACACTGGCCTTCCAGGACTTGCTTGTGAGCCTTGTTTCAGGGGCATTACTCTTTGGGGCTAATGTCTACAGGGTGGTAGGTCTCCAAGACCAGGGTTGGGTATCTCTTCCTTAAGCCATTGAACATATACAGTGATCACCACAAAAATTGACAACCCTGGTAATTATGAGCAAAATGAGATGTACCAAATTTTCTAAATTATTTATTCTTTTAATTTTTTTTTTTTTTTGTTCAAAATATTAGCCAAAATCTAACCACAATTGTTGGCACCCCTAGTAATTCTTAAGAGTGAAATCTAACTGAAGGATTGTCTCATTCATATTTTATGTTTGAAAGTTCACCTGAGCAATTAGGAACACGTAAATGGCAGCCATGACTTCTTGTTTTATGAGGGCATATACACTTTAAAAAGACAGAAGTGTTCTTCCTGGAGATAAGTGGCGTTTTTCATGCCATCTATCCATACATACGATTCATCTTCAATGTTTGCTGGATTGTGAACACTGACATAAGCCAGTGTAAGAGAGCCCTGCAGATTCTGAGATGTTACTATGGCATTTTTATGATCCCTAGAATATTCTATGCCTTACGGACTGTATCATGTAATTCTACAGAAAAACATTGGGGCATTCACCTGTGAACTGAACCTCAACAGAAAGTGGATCGAGTGACCCCAAAACCACCAATTAGTCTGAAAAGAATGGATAAAACAGAAGAAATGTTTTACATTTTGAAATGGCTTAGTCTAGGTTTAGACCTTAATCCAATAGAAATGTTGATGCAGAACCTATGGTGTGGCATGCATGCATGCAAGATGGCCCACCGACATAACACAGATGAAGCAGTTCTGTATTGAAGAATGGGCCAAATCAATGTGCAGAGCAGATCAACAACCAAACGGTTACTATAACTGAAGGCATTGCTGCTCGAGGGGGTGACACTAGTTACAGAAAGCAGAGGTTCAGATACTTTTGCCAGAAGACATTTAATGTTGGATTACTTAATACTCTAACATATTTTATTTAAAATGTGTTCCCTTGTACAGTAAATGAGACTGTCTGAAGCCTCACATTAGATGACCGTTAAATGTTGAGCTTTAGGGCCCTACTTTCATGATAATAGTGCAAGCAAAAAAAGACCAAAAATTTCCAACACTGGCTCGGGACAGATATAATTTTGGTATTATTGTAGCTGGCAGCTCAGGCACTAACCTGGCACAGAGCATCGCAGTTGTGAAAAGAGGTTAGATAGGACTGAATATATCAACAGGTGTGGTTAGTCATGCTTTAGCAGAATCAGTCAATTCAAATGCAGAGCGTGAGTATTGCCGCCTTTGTACAATAAACATGTATTCTATTACTTCTGTATATACAGGTTATCTTTTAGAATCATATGGAACACTTAATAGCGTAATAATTAAAATGCTACAACTACTGCTATTACTGTAATAATATTAATAATGACTTTATTAAAAGTGAACTTCTGAGAATGTTAATTATTGAAATTATCAGTGCAAATCTGATGCAAGATTTATGACCAGATAAAAATTACAGTTTCTACTTAACACAGTAAGCTCACATTTCTATAGCATTTGTTCACAGAATTTGAATGGACTGATCGATTAATTTATTTTTTAACTCTTCAAGTACTGGGACACAGCATGGGTAGGATGAAAAGGAATTACATGATGTAAGGAATTACTTCCCAATGTAAATTTTAATTATCTGGGGTGAAATAAGATATAAAAACTTCATTCTATGGCTTCATTGTTTTTGTAGTTGTTGAATTAGAACAGTCCCTAAGAATGCAACAGTATAACTTTTCAAATCTGTCTTTTATTAGAGTTTTATTAGAATTTTAAGCATGGCTGGCTACAATTTAACATGACAGCACCTCACATACTTATTTTTTTAATGGTAGGCCTACATCATATTCAGAGTATATTAAATACTCATTTTAGTGCAGTCATTTTTGGCTACCAAAATAGCAATTGGGCACAAACAGAAAAAAATGTACTCACTCCTAGGAAAATTACCAGTGTCTGTAGCATTGTTAGTAAAACTGTATTTCCACCTGTATGAAAACAGAGCTCTTAGTTCTTAGCTCTTAGAAAACAAAATGGTTTAAATGATTTTATCTCTAACAACAGGCACTAATGACAGACGAAACTATCGGAAACGTTCCTATCTTGATCCTTGGCAACAAGATCGATAAGCCAGAGGCAATCAGTGAGGAGAAACTGCGAGAAATATTTGGATTGTATGGCCAGACAACAGGCAAGGTAAGAGAATAAACCCTTTCTGTTTAAGTAAAAAGTTTTCAAAACACATTCAAATCAGATAGCTTTTAGTTTTACATGATGCTTGAGGAGTGCATAGAAGTTGCCAGATTCTGTCCCAAAATCTTAAAATTTTAAAAACAATTTTAAAAATGTTGTGATAGTATGTGAAATGATAAACACAAAGCAGGTATTAATCAATTCTATTTGACCTGTATTAAATTAAAAACAATATAAATGTGATATTTAATGTTTGAACTTTTTTTTGTGTGTGTGTGTGTGTGTGTGTGTGTGTGAATATTTGCTCATTCCAAATGTGATGCCTGCAACATGTGTCAAAAAAGTTGGGACAGGATCATGTTTACTGCTGTCACATCACCTTTCCTTTTAACAATACTTAATTAATTTGGGACAAATTACCAGTGATCCAGTTTTGAAAGCAACATTTTTTGCTATTGTTTTATTACGGTGCTTTCACAAATGTGTTGGTTACCCATGCCATCCCATACCATGACAGACCCTGGGTTTTGAACTTTAGAATCAGTATGGTCCTTTTCTTCTTTGGCCCAAAAAACACAGGGTACATGATTTCCGTTAACAATCTGAAAGGTTGACTCGTTAGAATGCAATTCATAGTATTAGATTACGTCAGTAAGAAGACCAACACGCCGTGTCAGTAGGCAAGCTGCAAATCTGACTGTGCTTTGATAGAGCACTTCTCATCACTGTTACTGCAGCTACAACCCTGCAGGCATTTAAAAACGATGAAACGCTACAAGGAGAAGATTAGGTAGATTGGTTGAACTGGATCTGCATAACCAGCATTTCTCCAGAGTTCAGAACATTCCAGTGTGTGATATTTTATAAAATCTAATACAAGTGGCTACCAAAACTGCTAAAGCTCTTAAATAGTAAACTCATTCATGTATATCAAGCTCACTTGTTTTGGTTGTTTTGGGTGAAATTTGAGGTCACTAGAACATGCAATTTTGAAGTCTTTAAAAAAAATTTCCTCTAATTTAGGGCCCTAACCTAATATAACCATAACTGTAGTAGTGTAAGAACCATGATATTTCACACAACATGGGTAAGGGGAAAATGTAATTCTCACAAGAACTTTAATATTTTTCCAGAAGTTTAAATTGTAAAAAGTAGATTTACCGATCGCTGCTTTCTGCATCTATTTGCATTTTACATGTTGTCTCAACAGGCTTGCTAACTGCAGAAATGGTAGATGGGCAAGTGGGCTATGTATCTTATTTTGTCTGCTCTCTCTCTCCAGGGTAATGTTCCCCTGAAAGAACTGAATACACGACCACTGGAGGTGTTCATGTGTAGTGTCCTCAAGAGACAGGGTTATGGAGAGGGCTTCCGCTGGCTCTCCCAGTACATTGACTAGAGGCCTGCTACAATGGGGTGCACAAGGAGCCACCAAACCGACACCCACACTCAGCTCTATGTTCAGTTCTAAAACCTGCCTTGACTCTTCAAAAGAAAAACAGCAACCCAGTGCAACTTGATTCAAATAGACTTTCATTAGGTGGACATTAAATTGACCAATTTGTGTTTTCTCACACCTCTTTTTTCTAAGAGAATGACATAGCAGTGAGTTTGTGTTAAATCCAAATTGATAAAGTTTTTATTACTTTGGGTCTTTTTGTTTCCTTTTCTTTCTTTTGACATATTTCATTTTCAAGACCTGCTTGATGTGGAAACATTGCCAAAAAATTATGGTATTGGCAACCAAATTCAAACGGTGTGTAACAGACATTTAGAATGTCATACGCACAGCTTTTTTACAAGAAACATTCTGGGGCATCACCAGTGTTGTATTGTGTTTGTTTTCTTTCATGCCCTTTTTTGAACAAATGTGGCCTAGCTTTACGGCTGATGATAAGCAGTTTATGACTTTACTTAATTAATGTCATTGCAGTAATTTTCAGCTGCATGGTTATCTCTTACCCTGTAAACTATGGGAGCGATAGCGTACAGCCACACACAGAAATTTGTTCTTAAGCCCTCTTTAATTGATATTTAGTTATGTAATTATAGCCTAATATGTAAGATAGATATGGCAATAAATCACAAACATGGGAATGCTAGATTGCTGTCCATTAGACCCATTAGAGATATTGTTATGGACAGCTGTGTGAGAGGGTGGGATTAACCAACATTTTTTTTTTTTCCCTTCTCCCCCCCCCTTCCTATGAATGCATATAAGTTTTGAAATAATGTGACTGGGAGAAGATGCAGTGAGATACACAAGACTTCAACATATAAAAACCATTCTGTAGGTCAAAGACAGTTTCATTCAGGATGTCCATGTCAGACAGTAAAAATGTGAGGAATATCGCACCTGGATATGTGACTATCAAGGTAATGGGCAGCATGTAATGTTCATGAATACCACAGATGAATTTTTATAAGCGGTGTCCTGAATAGTTCTTTATTTGATCAATGTGCATTACTTAAGGAAATAACTATTTTGCATGCATTGTTCCTTGATCTTTAATGAACATAACAATTGAGGAAGAAATCCAAAATTAGGGATGCCAAATTAACATATTAAACAGTCTTTTTGGTTCTTTCTTTAAGGGAGGTACAATGGAATGGCACAATAGTAGATTTCTTTTTCTGTTCTGTTCCTTTACGTACCGTCTATCATTCCATGAGCTGTTCTGTGTAAGGGAGATGTTGTTTGCATCATAAATTGTAATAAATGTTTGCAATTAATACAGGATCCAAGCTTTCAGTGACTTTTTCTGAAAGCAAATGGTGAGTGTTTGATAATAAGACGGAGAATAGGTTGTTTGCCTTATAAAACTTCATAAAATACTAATGTATTTTCTACACTTTATCATTTACTTGTGAAATTATTATGCAATACTAAATACATGTTCTTGATAACATTGATGACATCATTCAAAAACACTTGACTGACTAATTCTACACAGATGATTTAAGAGACTTACTGCAGAATTTAAGTTTCTGTATTGATGTAAAATAAATAAGGTGATAATAAGGATAATTTAATTGACTGACCCATACAATTCATAATCAGTTTTGGTGCCATCTCCATGAACATGAGAATCATCTGAAAAAGTAAAAAAAAGAAAAATTAGACCAGGAAAAGTGTTCTTCAGACATATGGCATTATGTCCATATTGCATTTGCATATGGCATTTGCCATATTTAAGATTTCCCAGTCTAAATTTCTAAGCGCATATTAATACATTTCAACCACAAAAATTGCTTGAGGGCCATAATGACAGGATGGTAATTGCCAGTGACTGTCATATGGGATAAAGCAATTTAATACCATCTAACACTAAGCCTTCTCTCTGCATTTTATTGGTTCCATTCCATCTCAAAATGGAAATGTTTTCAGTATCACAAAGATCTCTACTTTTTGCTTCATGTGTAGTGAGAAAAAAAAGTGGATTTTTTTTGCCATTCTTCCATACAAGTGTTCAACTGGTGTTTTTTCACAGATGTGCAGGTTACCCATGTCATGGCAGACCCTGGCTTTTGAACTTTATGCTGGTAACAGTCTGGTCATTCTCTTCTTAGGCCCAAAGAACACAGACTGCATAACACATTTCCACTGTACGTCGGTTCATTTCAGATGAGCTTAAGCCAAGAAGTCTGTGGTGTTTATAGACGTTGATGACATATGGTTTCTGCTATGCATTGTACAGTTTTAAATTGCGTTTATGGATGCAGCCATGAACAGTGTTTATTCACAACAGTTTGACAAAGTATTCCTGAACCCATATGGTGATATCCATCAGAGAACCATGCTAGTTTATAATGCAGCGATGTCTGAGGGTATTTCTTATGCCCACCCCCCACCCCCAACACACAGTCAATGTGTCTTCGTTTTACTAATTGCTCCATGACACAGATGACTGTGGTGTACTATGACCAAGCCTGGATATTTGTGACGTCTAATGTGAAAGGTCTCATACAAATAAAACTAATGTCTTCCTAAATTGACACTAGCCATATTTGTTTCGTTTTCTTTTGAAGATGATCAGTCCACACTGGTCTTTGAAATTCAAAGACATTTAAAAAAGAAAAATATATATATATAAATAAAAATATATAAATATGTAATAATATTATGGTAATAAAGATGAAGACAAGTACTACTAAACCAATATACTGGTAACAAGATATAACTTCGTAGTTTTTATTTAAGGAGCAGAGGCACGTTAAATACAAGTGCTTATGTGCATAAGTATCTCTGAAGTTTCCATAATGTCTAGGTATTCTATTGAAGCCTGCTTTGTTCTCACTTTAGTTTCTTCAGTTTCAGTTCCCTTAAATACATTAATATTAAACGCTCAGCACAAGGTAAATGAATGTCACTGAACATTATCGGATCACTTCATATCTGGTATGTATATAGTAAGACAGACCTTGAATATATGTTGGGTTTTTGGGCTAGTTATTGGAAATTACCATTTTATGATGTATTGAAATGTATGTATAATTCAATTTGACTGACCAATGTGAGGATTTGGGGTGTCAATTACTTAAAAATGCTACAGTGGAATCACTTCATCTTCAGTTTGTGCTTATTATAATAGACTCTAAACCTATATCTGTTTGTACTCCCTGATTTTTTGGAAATTTTGAATTTGATTTTTATGATGTGCTGGAGTTGCGACTTATGGTTGTTAGATTTACCAATGTGAGGACTTTCACTGACATTTATTTAAAGGGCCTATATGCTACATTTTTTTTTATTTTACCCCTGAGTTCCACTTAACATTTCTGTGGATTCACATACCAAAAACAGTCAAAATTCATTTTACCTGACCATTTGAAAAGCACTCTTTATCTCTTAAAATTATTCAGACTGTTTCTGTTACTGTGTGTTAAAACTGTTATATGTAAATCACATTTATTCTGCCTGGCTGCCCCACCTTGTTCAAAATGCAGTCCAAACTAAAATCCTGCTTATAATTTCAGCATTAATGTGAAAGGACTCCTGTAGGCTGTATAGGCAGATATATTTAAATACCTGGGTTTTAATGACATCACAAAAACAATGAACTTTCTTTTTGCAGCATAGTTTCCATATACAGATGGAATGGAGTGAGGAGGTGGTTGTCTGCTAATGGAAGGAGAATGTTTGCCTGATTAAATTGGAAATGTTTTTTTAAATTGGAACCATATTTTGAGAGAGTTTTTAACAACTGGACCCAGGCTTTGGAGACTTAAACTGATAGGTAAAGCGTAGATAGCTTAAGATAGAAATTGGTGAAAGTAGTGAGTTCGATAGAAGTTCCATAGAGGCCCATGCTTGTCCTTGATTGTTTTGATACATTGAAATACAATAGCTCAATTTAGGAATGTTAGTTGCCTAGTAGTAATAATAAATAGAAAATTAGGCAAGCCCCTCCTTCTCTGCATTTAGACGTCTCTAGATAGTCTCTGATTTGTATCCTGATTGTTTCCCAAACTGTGAACTGTGTATATAAGCTTGGGAATTGGTTGGGTTGGGATGGATATGCACAGTAAGAGGCTGTCCGTGCATAGCGATACCGTATGTGTTATTTGGTTTCTAATAATACCTAGAATTATCTGTTGCATTCTCAGGGCTATGGCAAGTGGTTCAATGGCTAGGTCAGATAAGAGGCCACAATACTGCCGAGTCCCTTTGTGCAGGAAAAAATAATTGGATCTGTTAGAGTTTGTGCATACTGAAGCTGTTGGCGAGAGTGATTGCCAACCCAACCCATTACGAAACCTGCTTGGTTGGGGTTGATGACTTTAGGTATCACCGTTTCAAGGCGACGAGACAACACCTTGGTGAGGATTTTATAATTGCAATGTAGGAAGCAAACAGGGCAGTAGGATCCATAGTCCAGGGAATCCTTGTCTTCCCTAAGACTGATATTATTGCCTGGGTCATAGTAGGTAGTAACTTCCCTTCAGAGAAAATTTCCTTAAACAATAATCACAGAAAGGGTGCCAGTTTAGATGAGAATAATGAGTAAAATTCTGTGGGGAATCTATCTGGACTACGTACAGTCCTGCCCTCCATGGAACTTATTGCCTGTATTATTTCTTCACTTGAAATAGGAGCATCAAGGATGATTTGGTCTTCTGCATTAATCTTTGGTCATTTTAGGCCATCTCGAAATGCTTTGATGTCGGTGGTGCTTATGGAGGCTTGTGATGTATATTAAGTTTAACACAGTATGACTTGAATTAGTAATGGGATGTGTGGAGTCTGGTGAGATGCAGATTTCAGGGATAGTGCTGCGTATCGCTGCTTGAGTTAATGGCTCAAAAATGTTCCTTCCTTTTCAACATGTTCATAACATGACTGCTTTGATTTAAGAACCAAATGTTCTGTTTGTCTTATGGAAAGGTTATCTAATTCTGTTTGCATCAGACTGTTCTTTTTAAAGAACATTGTGGGACTGTTCTTAAAAAGTTCAGGTGTACAGTCATGGGCAAGCTTGTTGTCTACCTGATATCTGTTCAATTAGTTCTGTAAGGTACTTTAAGAAATGTGTATTTACAATGTGAATTTACAAGCTGTATAAGAAATGATCTGTTCCCCTAAACTTACCTAGGCTTTAAGCGATTCCCATATAGTAGTATGACATTCCACGTGTGCTATTAACTTCCAAGTAAAAGTCGATTTGGTCAGAGATTAACTTTTTGAATGAGCTATACGTTTGTAATAGTGGATCAAGTTGCCATGAGTGCTGAAGTACAGGACTGTTTGGAAGTTCCAAAATCTAGCTGAATCGGGCAGTGGTTGGATATCACTATCCTGTGATATTGACAATTAGTCACTATGGAAATGGTCCTATGGTCAATCAAGTAAAAGTCAGTTCTTGAATATGAAAGGTGAACTGGCAAGAAGAATGAAAACTGTCTGGTTGTAGGATTGGAGTGTTTCCAGGGATCGAACAACCTGTAGGACTGCATAAACAACAAAATCAATGCATCTGATTTAGACACAGCTGTGTTTGGTCTGGGGAAGGATTTGTCTAGCATTGGCTGTAATCTACAGTTGAAAGATTACAAGTATCATTAGACCACATAATTTTCCTGATACAATGACAAATCGGTCATGGTTATCTGATGTTACATTAACAGGCTTGAATGGGATCACCTTCATTATTAATGTTGTCGCAAAGCAGCTTCACAGAAAAATCCAGGCCAAAGGCAACAAAAGGAAGGAAAAACCCTAAATACAAGAGGTAGAAACCCTGAGAGGGACCAAGACTCAAAAGGGGAACCTATCCTCCTCTGGTCGCCACTGGATAGCAAACAATAACACAAGAGCAAAATGAACAAAGGATGATATACGTTAGTATAAAATATTAAAATACAGAAAAAGGGAAAACAGGTGAAGCAATGGCTATGACTAAATAGTTTGAGTCTGTGCAGCAGCAGTATCAGGGGGGTCAGTTCATGCAGGTGAGGTTTGCACGGGGTTGAGCAGCGGGAAGCTCAATGGTGGTCACACTGGTCCAGAAGGCTGGCGAGCAGTAGGCACCCAATCAAGGCAGAAGAAGCAACAGCATCAGACCGCACAGGATGGGCAGTTGTTCAACTCGACAAAAAAAAAAGCACAGAGAGTTAGTTCTGGTAAGAGAGACTGATTAAAGTATACAGCGTTAACAGAGTGCAGCAGAGACTCTGGCAGGTCTAGCTATTACAACCTAACTAAAAGGGAAAGGTAACAGACATGAGGGCTCCCAGAGATGTCAGCACCTCTCTGCTTCAACAAACCTAGTGAATGCATGAGAGCAGAGGGATGACAGCACCAACACTCCCAGTTTACCATAATACATATCCATGAACCCCCAGATCTGCACCTTTTATCTAACAGGAAGAACTAATTACCAAAGGCCTGACTAAACATTTTAGATAAGGTTCAGTTTCACCCATGTACTTCATGTATCTTTACAATTGTAAATGGGACATGGGGTACATGTGTAAATTAGACTTCTTACTCTACTAACCCTATGGTTGAATCACCAGACAACCTTAGCAACTTATGTCATTTCTGTGGGGAGACAGAATTACATGAAGAGTCAGCTGCAGAAATTCTCTGGGTAATTATTACATTATGGCTGTACATAAGTTTATTACTTCGTAAGAGAACAATATTTTCCTATGTTTCTTTGCAGTGATCGACAAAGTACAAAACAAAATCTATGTTTCTACTAAAGTTCATAGCCTAATAAAATTCCTTTAAGGAGATGTGTTAGTGCACACATGAAGAACGGAATTCATTGTCTGTGTCTGTAGCCACTCAGGTCTCTTTAATCGAAGCGGTTCATCAAAATAATGGAAATTAATGACTATTAACTTTTAAGATTTATTAAGGAAGTACATTTAGGCTTAAACTCAAATATGAACATAAATATTAATATCAAGATGAATGTTAGTTTTTGATTTCCTATTTTCCCTCAAATACACTAGTTTTGCACATTGTCCGCTACTATTTTTGTTAAATTAACGTGAAAAAAGCTGACAAGTAATCTTTTTGTTTTACATTACGTTTTTATTGCCCGTGATAAATGTGAAAGGTCGTTCCACAAAGGTTGTGTCAATAACCTTGAGCTGGAGGGGCATAGTGTTATAGTGTTATTTTCAACATTGGTTTTGTACAAATACTGTTCACAAATAGAACTGTGGAATAAATAAAATTGCTGAATACTATGATTTCTGTGGTGAGAAAGAATTTTGTTCTGTCTTTAATAAAACAATCATTTAGTGTTTTTTTCCAGTTAATTTAATGTCATTTATATGTTTGAATTAGCATTTTCAATCATATTACAAAAAAGTAATGAGTAACATTGGGGACAACTGTTTGAGAGTACTCCTTTTATACTGTAACACTGAATCATTAGCGCAAGAACAATAATATTTGTGTTACACTGGTAAACAAGCAATGTCTGTCATATACATGCTGTTTCCAATGGTGAGAGATACAGATGAGGCATTTGTCCCATTCA